TGCTAGGGTTTTCAGATATAGAGAGACATTTCATCACCTCGCTCTTAAGCACTTTTGTATAAGTTCCTTCTGCTCCTTGCTAATGTGCTAAGGTAATTGGGAACACAAGCCCTTGCACATGACATTCTCAGATTTGATGCTATAGTGATCGAAGTAGCGCTGTAGTTGGGTAAGGCATAGTTCTGGATCACGTCCAGCAAATTCAAGTAACCTTCTTCTGAAGGAATAGAGATTTGAAGTGAGGTTCCATGGTTGGTAAATGAGACCCTGGAATTAAAAAGTTAGGCTAAAATTAAGTACGGGTGAAAAAAGTTCGAGAAAACAAAGTATATCAACTACAGTTAACCATAACAAGGAAGGTGTGTTGTGGATGAATCAATCTCGTCAATTTAGAAACCGGCTCCTCCACCAAAATAATTATTCTCGTCATCAGCGAATGGACCATATTATTGTGTAAAGTAGCACATAATTTTGATTCAATGTTGCTGAAGAAGAGGAAACCGACTTTTCATTTATCGTCCCAATTATCAGTTAAATTCTAAGCAAAGCAAGGTTTCCTTTCAATTTCCAGACCTGGCGCTCAACACACAGCATTCATCTCCGTGGGAAATTCAGGCTTCCACAGACCAGTTTAGGCAGATTATGCAAGTAGGAATCATCAGGCCATCCAGTGACAGAGAGGCTTCATCTTTTCATACTGTGCCTGTAAATGGTGGCGTAATCTGTATGCCTTGGGTTAACAACTGATATCACAAAGCTAAAACAATCCTGGGTCTTTACTTGGTGTCCTGCATGCATGATATGGCCGTATCTTATGAGTACTTATAGGGACTATATTGCTGTCAATGACAGATGAATTTGCAGACTTAAAGGAAACCAAGAAACGGGTAGATCAACCAGTTTGAAATGGAGTTATATTGAGAACCAAGACCTTGGAGGCACTGCGTCATTGTTCTACTAAAGAATTATATTACAATTCTTCAATTTTTTCACTATTCGGATCTCAAACACAAAGCACAACTAACAAAATGTCTAGCGTCTAACAAAGGTATGAATTTAAGTAAATAACACAGTTCAAGATTATCAGTAAAACTGTCTACTTTACATAGAAGTGCACTACAGTGTATGAAGTACAACAGCACTCCATAGCACATTTTTGAATGCAACATACCAGAACGGTAAATCATTTATTTTTACTACGGTGGGTCGGCGGGACAGACTACGCAGAAGTTTACCGAAGATCAGGAAACATTTACCTCACAATTAAGAAGCAAGCACAAAGAAATCGGCATATTCAATCCCTATTATCCAGTATCCAATATCATTTTTACGAGCTAGTATAAGCTAATTTGATGTAATTTACCATACTTATTTCACGAGGTGATACTGCAGTAATATTATGTGTTCTAGTGCCATCTGACAATTGATGCATGCTTTTAACTTTGGAACAACACAGAATCAGCGGGCTTTGAAAGAATCCTTAATCCCAAGGTCAGTGACGTTGAAAGTTCGGGCTAGTGCTGTTAATCTAGCATTTATCCTTTTTCAGTCCCTAGCAGCAGCTGATCTAAGCTGTAAATCAAGATGTTGTGAATCTTTGAAACACACAGTGGCAAGATTTGAGAGGACTTCCTCTAGCACTGCAGTTGTTCTGCGTAGAAATTCGCACTAACGTTGACATTAAGCTGAAGATATCCAAGCCCACTATAATGCTGAATTAAATCTCGCTGATTTTGAACTAACTCTAGCATTCTACAGTGAGTAAATTCTGAAACTGCCAGGAGATGATTTGATTATGCGCACAAACCAGAACTCAGTGCTGCTCTAAGCTAGGGCCAAGCTCACAATAATTCTCAACTAATTCTAACCTTTGTGTCGATAATGCCTTTTTATGGTAAATAAATATTTTGTCTACCTAAAATGGACCCAGCATGTACGGAAATAACTCTGGTCATCCTTAAAAAGAGCACTGGACGCTTAACTAATGCGACGAAATCTTAAAAATAGGATTTACATCTGAAGTAATGCATTTAGCGCTGAAATAAAGCTGAAAAATTTCCACCGTGCGCCGAATTTATCTGAAGTAATGCCATTCATTGCTGAATATGGACCGAGAGAGCTGAAACAATGCTGAATAGTAAACCCAGTAGGTTCTGAGCTACTTCTGAAAATGCTTAGAAAAAGCAAAGTGTGCTGAATTAGTGCTAGCCATGCGGTAAACCAGCACTGAGTTCTGGTTCGTGCGTATAATCAAACTACTTCAAGGCAATTTCAGAATTTACTCTCTGTAGAATGTCAGAGTTAGTTCAAAATTAGCAAGATTTAATTTAGCATTATAGTAAGCTTAGGGGATAAATGGTCTAACCATTTAGATAAACAATTTGTCAACAACCTCAAGAGTTACTCAAAAAGCTGCTCAGATTTCTCGTTTCCTGTCATCTGGTGGCTACTATAGTTTATTTTCACCAATTATCCCAACTGAAAAGGTCTCCGTGGACCTGTTGTTTAGCTCGTGCATAGAATGTTAGCCATGTATGGAAAGGCCGGTTGGTTTTTCGAGGTCACACGGCAGGTCGTTGGTTTTGTTAGTATTCGTTACAAGTACCAAATGAGACAACTGACTCCCAAATGCCTACATTAAAAAGGATTCCCTTTTCTTGTTTCAGCGAACCCTTATTGTCACCCGAACTGTACCTGCATAAGACCCAGTAAGACTATCTGATGATTAAAATTCTACCAAATTGCGGTGGCTTCTTGTATATGCTGTCACTAATTGTGAAGACCCTAAGTTACTGAACATTTTGGTTTATACAAATACGTTGACATTAACGCTTGCCTTTCGGTTCATTTATTCCATTACTTGCCTCAATGTCCGGACGAAATGCTGGATATCACCGATTTTTTTGGCCTTCACAGTTTTTTAGTGGTAACAATTGACAAACGCTTTCAAGGGGGAAATTTGTTTGTTCACTGTAAGGGTCAGTATAAATTGTTTGGCTGATTTTCTTTAACATTAAGGATTTCAGATTAATTGATTGAGGATAAAAGGCTTGAAGCCTATGTTAATCCTCTTCTAACAAATTTCTGTGCTTGTTTTAACCCTTCTTTAATAAATCAACTGGGTGCAGTGACACCACTTCTTCTGAGAGTCGGTTATAAGAGTTTATGACTCGGTGTGAGAAACAGTACTCCAAAACGATATGGTTCTTCTTGGCCTTTGAACTCTGCTGCTATATCCTCTGAGATTTTCCAACCTGATGGGAAGGAAAAGCGGAAATAGATCAGGTCCGTAGTCATTACTTAAGATTTTAAACATAGTAACGAAATCTTTCTGCCTGTGGTATGGTAGGGGGAAGAGAATAAAATTGTCTAGTCTTTCTTCGTATGATAAGCTGGTCATATCGAGAATCATACGTGTTACCTTACTTTGAATCCTTTCTAGAATATGAGTCCCCCTTAAGACAAGGTCTGGATGCAGTTTTCCAGTCTTGACCTCACCAGAGATGTGCATAAAGAAGTGAACATATATTTGGTGGTTCTAGTAAACACTGCGTGTTGCCCATAAAGATATAAAACTACGAGCTGCCGCCTCGAGACAGTGTACTGTGGTTTCTAAGTCGTGACTTATTATGACACCTAGGTCTATATGAGTATGAAATGATGGGCGTTATTTCCTCTAGTTCGTATGAGCTAACGCTTGCATGTCCAGTGCCAATGGTTGTGCATTTCGCTACGTTGACCGGGATCATCCATTCTTTGGAGTACTCAAACAATTTTTCGAGGTTTCCTTGTAACATTATCGCCCTTCAGCTCTCTCCAGATTTCATCTGTGTGAAGGAACATAGGCGATTCGGTGAGTACAAGTAGTAATATGCAAGATAAATAAAAGAGGCCCGACTCCGATGTCTTGTGGCACCCTACAACATACCGCTGTCCAAGAGGGGAGTTTAGAGTTGGCCCTGACCCTCTGTCTCCTACCTATGAGGAATTCCCCAATCCATTTCAATAGGCTGCCCTTGATTTCAAGACTTTCCAATTTCATCAGGAGTCTTGTGTGGGATACTTTGTCGAAGCCTTTGCCGAATTCTATGAAGGCATCAACGGGTCTTCTGTTGTCCCTTGACTCGACCTAGCTTTCTCTTGAAGTTAGGTTTGCCAGGCATGGTAAGATTCCTTGGAAGCTATGCTGTGCTCTGGACAACAAGTTATTGTTTTCCAGATATGCCATGATAACTTTCTTGATGATTCTTTCCAGTATCTTGATTAAAATGCTGGTGAGGCTTATCCTCCTTTGTGAATGCGGGTTACTGTGGCTTCTTTCCAGTAACGCGGTAACACCATTCAGAAGAGAGCTTGAAGACCGTAGTTATTGGACTGGTTATGTGAGCTGATAGATCCTTGAAAAGCTTTGAATGGCCATTTGTTCTTATCGACTTACCTGCATCTAGTTTTCTTTTAGAGGATTGAGTACGACGTTTTGGTCGATGTAAACAGAATTTATCCTGTATTCCTCTGACGCGTCCGGAGCTGATGCTATGGGGAATCACGACTCCTGTGTGAAGATTAGGAAAAGTCGTTTGCTACTCCTTTTGCGTTTTCTTGGTCCTCTTCGATTATGTCGTTATCCTAATCAGGCTTTGGACCCCGTTGGATGTGTTTTTACTGAGGCTCATGTCCGTAAAAATTTTCTTAGTTTGTGCCGTTGCGTTCTGGGCTAAATGCATTTCGAGCTTCATCCTTTATTGATAGATTCTTGCAATAGCCTTGTTCCTAGTGATGATGTACAAATTTCTGAATTCAAAAGTGTCAAGTGTGATAAACAGGTTCCGGCATTTATGCTTACACCTGAGTAATTTTCGAATCTCCCGGTTTATCCGTGGAGGATAATGTTTTTGACCCTTTGGGACAGTCCAAGGAATGCAAAGTTGGATTATCCGAGCATAAAGTTGCTTCATTTGGCTCCGTGGAGCCTCCATGTGAGATTCTCGATTTATGTGTCCGTCCTGTGATTTAGTCGCTGAGACGAATGCATTTATATCGGTTTTCCAGACGTTTGGGTCGAGCTGGAGTTTTGACCCACAAATAGAGTGGGACAGCTACCATCTTGTGCTTTCACTTAACTAAATCCCTTAGCACAAAAACATGTAAGGGGATAAGTATAAAGAATATGCTAGTGGTAATCACGAATTGCAAGTTATAAGTAGAAAGAACATACAAATCAGCATTGTAAACAAGAAGACCAGCCCACCCAGTTAATGGCGAGAGTTGTTGTGCTGCAGTGTGAGTCCTGCGTTGGCAACATTTTTTCTATTTGTTGGTATCCTCTATTTATCTGATACTTGCAGTTAGTTATTACCTATGCTGTGTTCATGCCCATTCCCTTATGTTTTCCTTTATATCGAAGGATTCAGTTAATTAAAAGCACATATGATATTAGCCATATCACTTAAATCTTCAGTGTTAATGATTATCAGCCAAAAACGTGATATTGACCCTTTCAGTGAATAAAAATAAATGTTCCCCTTGAAAGTGTTTTGTCAAAGTCGCTGCTGAAGGAGTTCTAAGGTTGAACAGTCAAGGCTAAGGGATAGGCAGGTTTAGGTTGCCTCACTAGAGTTGTCGGAACACTATGGACCAGCGGTTGATGACTTGGAAAAATGGTTCGCAACAGGGTACATGCAGTTGCAGTATCGTTTCTATGTCTGTTCACTTTTATTTGTTAATTGGAAATGTGGCGATTTGATAAATGCAGTTTTGCATGGGATTCCACTTTAATTTGTCTGACCTGTCATCCCACTCATAGTCAAATAGAGCAGTGATTCTGACTAATTCTGAAATAGCAATATACAATTTAGATCTGAGAAACCCCGTCAAACATTCTCAAGCTTTCACTCAAAGTGTTTAAAAACTCTATTCTGCCATTATCCTAAAATGAGGAATACAGTCGAACTCTATATTTCATTTAAAGGTATTCAGTAAAAATACTTGCCCTAGTGAAGGACACCAGTGAGCTTACGAAGTTAAAAAAATGCAGATCAAGGGGTTCACGGCTACGTGTTATCCTCTTTTGCGAGTAAAGTGATAAAATCTATAGGAGTAGGTTGATTTTGTACCACAGCAGTTAATTATTGTTAATATGAAGTCTCAAAATAGTTGGCACAGTTTCTTCATGATTTTTCTTACTGCTAATGCCTTATAGTAACAAAATATACAACTCGACTACATGACATGGGTTTTTGTGCTAGGTCAGTTGCTGTTAGTGGTTAGTAGTCTGCTCCAATAAAACATAACTAGTCTGCCTTACTTCTACTGTTTTCAAACTGACAGATGGTGCATAGTTATTTACAGGAAGAAATTCGTTTCGGATATTTCAAAATAATAAAACAATAATTCCTGCTCATATAGTTCCTCATAATCAATATAATTTCTATCATTTGAACATCCATAATTGATTATTAAGTTACTATCCCCACAATTATTGTTGGAGTTGGTTAGGCTAATATTAACTTAGCCTATTCAACGACTTCATCGTCTTCGGTGATTTCTCATAGTGGCCATGGAGAAGACTGGTTTTTCTGTTACTATTACGTCGAAGTTCATAGAAATTATTACTAAATAAATTGTTTTCATTTATCTGTTGGTTTACTGTTTTAACAGTGTTCTTTGCTGCAAATATACTGATGACTATATTGTTATGATTCTATCGTACTATTAATCTACCAATCACGACTGTTCCCAAATTTACTAAATGTGCGTGGTGTATTGAATGAAGCCTATTTACGCGCTTTTTATACTTAAACTGAGTACTATTTTCTTCTGTTTTAGATGGCAGAGTCTATGCATGTGAAAACTCTCCTACCTCCACGAGAAGTGTCACCTCTTATAAGGACAGCTCGTTGGGGATTGTTAGCTGTCGGAATTGTGTACGGAGCTTTACGTTTGAAATATCTCACGAAAAGGGAAAAGAAAATTTTTGAAAGAGATCGTGCTATTGTAGAAAAGAGGTTGAAGGAGTACAATATTTGGTTCGCTGAGCAATCAGAGAAATCTCTACAGGAATTGGCTAAGGAAGCTGGCGTAACACCTAAAAATTAGATGGATAACAGCATAAAACATTTAGACTTAACTGTTATGTACAGTTTACTTTAGATATACAATTGATCTCCACTTATCTTTATTTTTTGTTTATTTAAAGTGAAATACCAAGAATATTTAGGTTATGTGCTTTACGACGCCATTTCTCGTCTTCCTGTTGAGGCTGTAGTTTATTTACTAGAATCATGGGATTATCGATTTCCGTAAGGCATTGCTAGTGTATCTCTGAACCAAGGTTTGCTAATGCTATTGCTGTAGAAGTATATAAAACTGAGTAGGTAGTAATAAGGTGATTGAATACGTTGTAAATTTGTACTATCCTAAGTAGTCACAGTACGTATGCATACGTATCATGTATGCATTATTCGAAGTAGAAGTCAGTTGAGCGTGTATTTTTTGGGAAAGGGGTAACTAGTTAATCGATTTCATTTTCATTGCTTTATAATCTTATTTGTATATGGATTTGAATAGGTGACAAAATTGCTATCCAACTTCCTATTCCATGTATTACACAACTATCTTTGCTTTAATTCTTATTCTATATTTTCAGTTTATGAAGATGAATAGCCTTGTTAACTAGTAAAATGTTGAAAAAGATGGTTAAGTAAACATAATTGGGGGAACAGCAATAACTTATGGTTTACTCGAACCCGAGAAACACTGTCTGTGAAAGCCAAGTGCTTACGCCAGTGAGCCATATCTTCATAACAGCCTTTTTTCTTAATAAACATAAGTGTTTAGTTATCGCCTTCCTAATAGCAGACCTCATATGCTCATTCAAAGCTAGGCATGTAAATACACCTCAGCTGTCCTTTTGTTTATGTCTCTTTAACCTTATTTATACAACTGAGCGGATTATTGCACGATCGGAATACAGGCGCAGCAGAAATATTTAATTGACAACACAGTAGAATAGTCTACTTGTATTCAACGTTAGGTTGATGTCTACGGTCGCCAAGTGAGATTATTTCTCTACTTGTGTTTCAATGTAGTGATGCCAGTAACAGAGAGAGCATATGGAAAACACAAAAGATTGAGCGAAGAAATATTTACTTTTCAATTAGATCCTCTTCTCTGGCTCTACTCTAATATATATAGCATTTTTACAATACACAACAATTTACCAAACAAGTGGTGATATGTTTGTTAACAATATTTAAACAGTGTCGAAATGTCAATGGGTAGATAATTAACGCAGAAAATCAATACACATTTAAAAAATGGATAGAATAAATTAATTTTACAAGAATAACACGTAATTAAAGATGAAGCGGTCAAAATAAAAATAAAATAAAATAATTTGGACAATTATAATTTAATAGGGGGAGGGGAGCGACGTAGTCCTGTCTTGTAAGGATGGCCACGGTAAGCAAAGTGGCTGTACAAATTTCTTCTGTACACATAGGCTTGGCTTCTTAAGGTGGATTCCGATTGCTTCTGCTGTCTGTAGAAGACGAACTCTTAGAGCAAAGTTGAGATTAGTCGGAATGCGATAAATGATTTTGAATGCAGTATTCACATCAACCTTGTGCTCGGTATCAACAAGGTGTGCTAAAATAGAACTCCGAATAGATTTTGTTTGTCCCTTGCTTAACCACGCTGGATGATGTTCAGAAATACGACGATGAAACTGCCTAATTGTACGCCCAATGTAGCTGGCTCCGCAGCTGCAGTCAAACTGGTATACACACATAGAAGAGGCAAAATTAGGTAGTTTGTCCTTATTTCTCGAACATAGAATAGGGGTGGTTGTGAAGAGACAACGTACTTCTGCTGCATAATAAGCTCTTTTAACTGCATTCTTCAAGCGCTGTGTTATGATCTCACTGATGTTGTCACCGAGGAACTGCAATTTTATGAACATTGGCTTTTTCGAAACTGTAGCAATACTGACTCTCTTTGGTGCTGAATTCATATTCTTCTCAATAAATTTATCTGGATAACCATTTTTTCTAAGTAATTCTTTAATAATCTTAAGCTCCTCATTGAGGCAGTCGTCTGAACAAAATAACTTAGCTCTATGAACCAAACACTTTACCAGGTTACGTTTATATTTCAAAGGTACAAAACACAGCGCTTGAAGAATGCAGTTAAAAGAGCTTATTATGCAGCAGAGGTACGTTGTCTCTTCACAACCACCCCTATTCTATGTTCGAGAAATAAGGACAAACTACCTAATTTTGCCTCTTCTATGTGTGTATACCAGTTTGACTGCAGCTGCGGAGCCAGCTACATTGGGCGTACAATTAGGCAGTTTCATCGTCGTATTTCTGAACATCATCCAGCGTGGTTAAGCAAGGGACAAACAAAATCTATTCGGAGTTCTATTTTAGCACACCTTGTTGATACCGAGCACAAGGTTGATGTGAATACTGCATTCAAAATCATTTATCGCATTCCGACTAATCTCAACTTTGCTCTAAGAGTTCGTCTTCTACAGACAGCAGAAGCAATCGGAATCCACCTTAAGAAGCCAAGCCTATGTGTACAGAAGAAATTTGTACAGCCACTTTGCTTACCGTGGCCATCCTTACAAGACAGGACTACGTCGCTCCCCTCCCCCTATTAAATTATAATTGTCCAAATTATTTTATTTTATTTTTATTTTGACCGCTTCATCTTTAATTACGTGTTATTCTTGTAAAATTAATTTATTCTATCCATTTTTTAAATGTGTATTGATTTTCTGCGTTAATTATCTACCCATTGACATTTCGACACTGTTTAAATATTGTTAACAAACATATCACCACTTGTTTGGTAAATTGTTGTGTATTGTAAAAATGCTATATATATTAGAGTAGAGCCAGAGAAGAGGATCTAATTGAAAAGTAAATATTTCTTCGCTCAATCTTTTGTGTTTTCCAAATGTCTAAATGGGGATATTTTCTATATAGAGAGAGCATAATTAGGCAACAGAATGAAGGTAGGTGATGAAAATCAATACTGTGTCTGCTAATGGAAGCTAGTGAGTAATCTCCACTCCCTACACTTTGAAAGTTGATTTCTTCGAGTAGGTGGAAAAGAGGACGGACTGGTGTTACAATGATCGCAGAGCCCATGCGGTAACTGCTTGAGTTTCCCCCGTACGGAAGACTTTACCAGTAGTTACGGACGTCCATATAGTATAAAACCATATCACTTCATTTCACGGATTCGCATCACCTGTACGCTGACCGAAAATACAGTCGCCATAAAAGAATGAAAGTGACACACTAATTTTTGGACTAATAGCAGAGAAAATGTTACAAGTTAAACAAAATTTAATGTTTTATGCTGAAACCCGCGCTGAAGATGTTGCCCAGAAGGAAGACGAAAGTGTCGCAATTAAACCAGCCAGTTCACAGAACACCACTAATTTCAAAATTCAATCTGTTGGTAGCACGATTTAAAGCTCATGTCATCAGTAATTTATATTCATTGAGAAGCAGTGGAAGCTGGTAGAAGACAGAAAAATAATAATCATTACAAGGTTATGTAGAAACCCAGAAAACTATAGTTTGTAAGAATAAGATCAACTTACTTGAAAACACTCATATAAATGTTTATGGAATTAATTATACCAGAATGAAAATGTAATTACCAAGGGTGTGGGATATTGATCACATTACTTGTGTGCATAAGCTAGATTTAAAAGTTTTGAGCCCGCAAATCGTGGTAAACTTCTTTGATCCCCTATAGTCTCTAGCCGTCATCAGAAACTGTAGCGGCTTGTGATCAGTTTCAATGTGGAACCGTTTGCCCAGTAAATAAGGTCTCCATTTGTCTATCGCCCATACTATTGCTAAACATTCTTTCTCTATCGTTGACTACCTCTATTCTGTGTGTGTTAAAACACGACTGGTATATTCGACAACTCCCTCATCCTGTCTAAGTACTGCTTTTATGTCGTAGTCGCTCGCATATGTGCACACTATGAAGTGTTTCCCGGGTACAGGCAGTTTTGGCGTCATTATCTAGTGGCTGTCGAATGTTTTCTGCGAATCTTCAGACCAAACAAACTTGGACTAACCCATTGGTCTGTAGAGTGGAGCTGCTATCTCGTTGAAGTTTTTCACAAACAGACTATAAAATGGTGCTCTCCCTAGGAACTGCCTTAGCTTTCTCTTGGAGTTCGGGGCAGTAATGGTGTTTGTCGACAAGATTAACTCTGGCAGCGGTCTTATCTCACCGTTGCCTTCTTTATGACCCGATGACGTAACACTCCGTTTGGCTATCTGAAATTTCCTTTTGTTGGTATGCATTCCGAACTCTTCAATGCGTTTTAACATGGCTCACATGGTCGCTTTCGCTTTGACTGTGAATGACGAGATCATCAGCGTGCACCACCACATTCTTCAAGTTTCTAAGTACTAGTGTCATCAGTCGTCCAAATGTAAACGGTGTACTTACTAATCCAGATGGCGTGCGTGCATACCGATACTGTTTCTGACCCACGATGAACGTCGTCTTATCTCTGACGCTCTATTTTATCGGTATCTGCCAATATCAGGACTGGAGGTCGAGCACTGTAAACGTATTCGCGCTTTGTAGACGCCCCAACGCCTCCATTGCAGTTGGCATGACACACGGCCTCAGATCTGTCTAGCTGTCGGAAATCAACCCAGAATCTGTACTTTCCATTTACTTTCTTCACTAAAAGGACTGGAGAGATATACGGGCTGTCAGCCTCTTCAATAATATCATTCTGTAACATCTTCACTTGTAGCTCGACTTCGCCTTCTAAATGACATGAGACTCTTCGTGCTGTGAATGGTGTCATTTTGCTACCTCTCAGTGGGACTTCATGCCTCACCTTATCACAATAACCGTAGGAGTCTCCATATCCAGTGAACAGATGATCGTATTCTTTAACTAACACAGTCATATTCTGTGCTTTCGACACCTTAACCCCTCCTATCTCACTTGTCTCATACATGCTGATAGGTCCTCACTTCGTAATTACTGCCCTCTCCTTCGTGTTACTTACCACACCAAACTCTCGCAGGAAATCAATGCCAAGTATTGTTCACCGTAACTCGGGCACAACAATGAACGGGAACGTTACTTCGCGATCACCAATAAAAACTCCACAATCTGACATACCCGTGATGCTAAACACATGTCCACCTATCATCTGGACTGTCAATGAACACGGTCTGACATAGATTCCTATCTATTAGTGAGACTTCCGCCCCTGTATCTATTAAACATACCACTTCTCGGCCATTCACTCGCAACTTAGAATACATGTCCCCCTCCCAATAGTCCCCACTACATCTAGTCTGACAGAAGAGAAAGAACACATTAAACTGTCTGAGATTTTTTTCTCCAACTTTCTGAGCAGTACCTCCTCCTAATTTGCCACATTCAAAGCACTAGTCTTTCCTAGCTGCATTCGTATCCGCTAATTCACCTTGCATATCTTCAATATTCTGTCCCCATTAGTTCGACTTTGATGGCTCTGCTGCGGTTATCGTCGTGCTGAACAGCTGTCTGGCCACCCTTGCTAGCTCAACAGTATCTATGGGTTGTGCAAAGTTTACTAGTTTTAGTGATTGACAAATGTGCTCTGGAACACTCAAT